GATGGTATCTTGTTGTTTAACGGTCAAATGCAAGATGGTAGTGGGGATTATATCTCACTTTACATTAAAGATCGTAGGGTCGTCTTTCAGTATGATAGCGGATCAGGTAAGACAATACCAAGTATTTGATTATATCTCACTTTACATCAAAGATTTGTAGGGTCGTCTTTCAGTATGATAGCAGATCAGGTAAGAAAATACCAAGTATTTGTATGATAAAAATGGAAAGAATATTTAGATTACTGTCTAAATAATCTATTATGATTATTATTATTTACAGGTGCTGCAGTAATTACTGGCACAAGTGAAGTCAATGCAGGACAGTGGCACACGTTGGTTGCCGAGCGCAATCGCCGAGATGGTTCTTTAGAGGTTGATGACAATGAAGCCATCAAGGGCCAGTCACCAAAGGGCTTAAGTGGACTTGACGTCCGACTTAAAATATTTGTTGGTGGCGTGGATAATCCCCAACAAATTCCGTCCAAAATCACAGTTACTGAAAGCTTCAAGGGTTGTATAGCAGAGGTGAGTAGACCAATGTATGGATGGATGGATTTATTTGGTGTAAACTCCAAGGGTAACATTCAAGACTTTTTTCCAGTGTGGTCCTTCTGGTGGCGTGTGTGTGTACGTGCGTAATATTTTAGCGTATCTAAGGTGTGTGCACATGTCATGTAAGTCTGATAAAACAGCACAATGAACAATGACTACTGGAATAGTTCCTATTATCAATAATTATGCGAATCTTGTATAAATACTAATATTTTAAATTTTAGTATATCTATCTTTATTCTGGTCCTTAATATTTAATATGTGAAAATAAATTTTTATGCTTTATGGTTTGTTTTTTTTAAAATCTTTTGGCATATATTTTTTTATATCATATTGTATTTTTATGGCGACCCTGTTTTTGGTGTTGAATAAATAAGTAAACTAAATTTTAAAAATAAGTATTACTTTTTGTTTTTGCTGTCAGATCAAAATAGGTGACAACATTCTGGATATTCTTGATAATGTGCGCAGTGCTGATATTGGTGACTGCAGTGCTAGGGCACCCTGTCAGAGTAGTCCATGCCAGAACAACGGTGTATGCACACCAGCAGGGTTGGATGATTACTACTGTATATGTGGGTCAGGCTACCAAGGTACAGTATGTGCAACAGTAGTGATGTCATAGTTATTGTGTGATTACTGTACAGTAGAACCTCGTTTTTACGTACCACAGTTATACGAACCCTCGGTTTTACGTACGCCTCGCATCGACGATGACGTCATCAAAAACCCCAAAAATATTTAAAACAAACGGCCCTTTTCAGAGCAACCATAAGTAAAAAGACTATAACAATAAACAAACCATAATGCAATGTATTTTCATTAAACAGCAACATTGATTGAGTCTAATACCGGGTTGTTATAATCTCAAACCACGTGAACTGAGTGAGATCAACAACTACCGATAGTGCTCAAAATAATTGCTTTCCTCCTTAGCTTCGTGTGGCAAACCATGGAAACACTTGTCAGGTCGAATTTTCTACATGAAGCTGAGTTTCGTACACGAACACTAATTGATTGGCTCATCCAGTGCAGTGCACATGGTTGCTGTTTCACATACACGAACGCTAATTGGTTGGCTCGCCCAGTGCAGCGCACATGGGTTTAGTTTGTCTCAACAGGCCCAGACAACACCACAGCTCTGTTATTTAAAATAGGCATGAAGGGGAATTCCCAAGTTATACCTTTGTCGTATAGGTAATCTTACAATATTTTCATGTTAGTTAAATAAAAGATATAAAGTGATGAATTAATACATTAGACACACGGTTTTATTTGAACACTTTATTATGACATCGTAAAGTGATGAATAAAAACACTAAACACATGGTTTCATTCGTAGGCCTAGAGGTTTGGTCTAGCCTAGCTAGGTAACATCGTTCTTTCATACATAGGTATATTGAGTGTTACGTACGTATTAGGTCAAAGGTTACCGCAAATTTAACCCAACCTCTATATTACGAATCCCCCGATTTACGTACGCCCTCCGGTCCCGTACCGTACGTAAAATCGAGGTTCTACTGTATCACGTTATTTCCATTTATTTAAGAGGGCCCCTTAATATCAGCTGACCATCTTGGATACACAGAAGGGTAACCCTCTATAAATATGGTTAAAAGAAAATAAAAATAATAATAAAAAAAAATAATTCTATACTTCCTAATGGCCAAGAAATACAAAGAAAATAGTAAATGTAGATTAAAGCAGTACATTCATTTGTTCTACCAATAATAACTGTTGTGTCATTTAGATATATCATATGGGATATATAAATTAACATTCCAGGTAAAGACTGTGAACTTCTACGAGGGCCCTGTGAGACATATCCATGCCAAAATGGTGGATCGTGTGTAACTCTTGGTGAAGAATACAAGTGTTTTTGTCCAATGGACTTCACTGGGCCAAATTGCGAACTTGGTAAAAGCTTCTTTGTTTTTATGTGCATAATTTATAAATGTGAATTTTGGTAAAATTTGATTTCCTAAAACATTATTTTCCATTTAAAGTTTATTCACATTTATGTTTAATGTATCAACTTTTTTCAGTCAATGCATTTACTGATGCCGTAGAAGTGTCAAGAGATGGGTTCATTGCATTGAGAAGCGATCTAATACCAAGGAAGTATGTACACTGATAATATATTTTTTTTTATTTCCCTCACATCCAACAGCAAGTACACTCACCACTTACAGGATGAGAATGATGCTTTATAAACTAAGCCTCTTTATGAGGCTTAGGGAGTGGAGTTGATTTTAGTCGTGAGAAAAACCACTGAGCTATTCAACTCCACTGTACTTGTATGGTGTAATAAATTA